GCCTACTGACCTGAGTTTGATCCCTTGGAACCTACATATTGGAAGGACAGAACCATTTCCTGCAAGTTGAGTTCCACACATAAATCATAAATTTAAAAATTAATTAATTAAAAATTTAACTCTAACTTTCTAATTACAAAAGCAAAGGAAAGCCTCTCATTTCCAAAAACTGGAAAAAGTTTTACGTTTCCAAGAACTGGCTTAGAAAACAAGGATTTCATGTTTTATTCCTTTAGCAAATAGGGCATTTAAAATTGAACATTTAGGGGTTGGGGATTTAGCTCAGTGGTAGAGTGCTTGCCTAGCAAGTGCAAGGCCCTGGGTTCAGTCCTCAGCTCCAGAAAAAAAAAAATTGAACATTTAGATTTTCAAAAAAAATTTTTTATTATTTTTATTTTATGTGTACAAGCATATTGCCTGCATGTATAGAAGTGCATATGTATTGTGCATTGCCCATGGAGGTCAGAAGAGGGTGTTGGAGCCCCTGGAACTGGAGTTCTGGGAACTGAACTCAGGTCCTCTGCAAGAACAGCCAGTGCTCTTAACCACTGATCCCTGAACAGTTAAATTTAATCCAAGTGCCTCTGACACAAAGGATATAAATATGTCTTGGTGCTAGTTTGTGTTTTCCCATTAGATTAAATCTTTCCCTTGCTGGAAAACCATATCCTTAGCCCACAGGTCAGTCTGATGGAGGAAATACCTCAGTTGAGGTTCCTTTTCCCAGGTGATTCTAGTTTGTGTCAATTTGACAAAAACTACCCAGCACAGATACTATATTGTTTTCTGATTCATTCTGTAATGTGACTATCCATTTATGTTCCCAAATTGAAGTATATTACAATGCTAAAATAATAGGGCAAATGAAATTATTAGTTACAAAGAAAAGTTAATAGTAAATTAGATATTGAATATCAGTTTTTCCTAAAATTAGAGCTAGTCACTCCATAGAAGGTATAGTTATGGAATTTGATTGCCCCCCCCACTCCAAAAAATAAACTAAAATTGAATGTTAATAACATGTCAAATACTCCAAACACCAAATAAAATATTTCATAGCGTACAGACAGCTGTAGACCCAGGGAAAACATGGAATCAGTCTAGTTAATGTGTATGCTTTTGGTTGGAAACAGGTTAAAATACGTTATCAGCTACCTTTACTTCTTTAGGCCATATTATGTTCTTCATTATTTTAACTTTAGATATAATCCCCTATTATGTTACATATAACATGCATATACATATGTGTGTATATAATTTTATGTCAGATTCAAAGAATGAAAAAAAAATCAGATCCTAATCATTATGGCTGATAAGTTTGGTATGATGGAAGGATTCATTCCTTCATGGATTTACCAACCCTTTCTCCTGAAGACTGCCTTTCTTCCTACCCAGTCTCCTCTCTATCAGATGCTAGGTATGAGCCTTCCTGATACCCACAGGGGACATAAATAACATTTTGCCTCTGCATGCATGAAAATGTGATTATGGGCCAAATGGAGGAACTATGAACTGAAGATTCCAGAAATAAACCTCTTCCTTAAAGATTCTACAAGGCTGAATGACTGAATAGAACTTTCTGAAGGTAAAAAGTTAGAATGTTGCAGATCCAGGACCAAATTATCTTGGGCTATTTTTACTCCTTTTAAAAAGGATTTAGCTCAATGGTAGAGCGATTGCCTACCAAGCACAAGGCCCTGGGTTCGGTCCTCAGCTCCAGGGGTAAAAAAAAAAGACAAAAATAAAAGCCATTTATTTCCCACCCCTGAGTCTGATCTAACATCTCTTTAACTGTCAGAATATTTTAAAATGCACTTTTAACAGATCACTAGCCTCCACCAGTCCAAAAGCTAAGAATGCTACCAGATAGGACATCTGAAACCTTTTAACAGTTTAATCTACTTTGCTTTAATGCTCCCTCCCCCCGTTGTATGATGAAATCTTATATAGCAATATCCATAGTGGAACTTGTCTTTCAAGTCACCTATGTCCATGTTCTCAGAGCACAGTCATTCATATTTGGCTCAAGAACTATCTCTTATTCCTTTAAGGTAAAAGTTGTGTTTTGCATTGGCACACCATTTTATCACTTCCCCGAATTCTCACCTTCACTTCACAGGAAATAGTTTCTCCTTTTTTGGTCTGACTTTTCTCTGTATTAGTTGAATAAAGGCTACTTTTTATGTAGGGGAAGGTGTGTGCATATATGTGTCTGTGCATGTGTGAGTAGAGGCCAGAGGTCACCCTTGGCATTGCTTAAGAGCTGTCCACTTTCTTTTTTGAGATAGGGTCTCTCAGTCCTAGGGCTAAGCTAGGTTGGCTGACTAAGGAGCCCCAGGGATCCTGCTGACCTTGTCTCCAGCACTGATATTACATGCACACACCACCATGCCCAGCTTTTTATATGGGTGCTGGGGATTGAACTTGGATATGAACAGCAAACACTACACCCACTGAGCTGTCTCTGCAAACTCCAAAGCCACTTACTTTACAGTCTTAGCTCCCCTTCTCAGTCCCTTTTCTGACTGAGGTATTTTAGTATAATAACCCAAAGTGGACCATTAACATGTTCATATGGCTTCTGGGAAGTTGGATGCAATTCTTATCTTGATCTTTTATAAGGAAGGTGTTTTATGATTTTTTTAAGCTTCTCTCAGAAGATTATCTCTATCTTTGTAGTCTGAAAGGGACATGCATATGTCTTTTTGGCATTTATGTTGCTTGGCGTTTTTAGCTTCTGGATCTATGGTTTGGTGTCTGATGGTAATTGGCAAAGACTTCACTTTTCATTGGTTTAAATACTTATGCCTCATTCTCTCTTCAGTATGTTACAGTTTTTGTGGATGTCCTTTAATTTTTTTGGATATTATGGGGTTTTTTTCCAGTTTCTGTTCTATGTGCTTTTAAATTTAGAGATTTCTGTTGATACAGCCTTAAGTTCAAAAATTGTCATGTCTCGTAGGCTCATCAGACCTTGTTCACTTCTATTATAGTGCTTCTTATAACCTAACATTTCTGCTTTTTTCTTAGGATTTCCACCCTATGCATGCAGTCTACTTCATCTATTGGCCCCTTTAGCATGTTAGTCACCTCTATGCATGTCTGGTTCTTACCTCTTTTCTCTTTGCTTGTGTTTTTCACCTTTTAGCATGCCTTGTAACTATTTCTTGATAGTTAGATATAATGTCCTGGGTAAAAGGAGCATCTGTAAGTAGATCCATAATAATGTAGTGATATCCAGAAACCCCAGCTTGCCCTTTCACCGAAATGTGTATGAAGAATACATCAATATACAAAAGCTAGTGTTGAGTAGCTACTTTTAAAAATATTTTATTTATTATTATTTTTATTTTGTGTGTATGCATGTATCGCCTGCATGTAGGTAAGTGCACCTGTGTTGTGCAGTGCCCACAGAGGACAGGGGAGGCAGGCTGGCGGATCCCTAGGAACTGGAGTTACGGACAGTTGTTAGCTGCCATGTGGGTGCTGGGATTCAAACCCGGGTCTTCTTCAAGAACAGCCAGTGTTCTTAACTGCTGAGCCATCTCTCCAGCCCCAGAATAGCTACATTTTATACAGTAACTCATTCTTGGACTTATGGATCACTGTCTGCCTAACCTTCTCTTGCTTAAAGACTTTCAATTGTTTTTCATTGCTCTCTCGCATTCACAGACTGTACTGCCTTTGTACTCATACACTACTACTTCTATAGAACAGGTCCTCAATAGTGGGAATATTGATTTAATGATATGTGTTTTTAAAATTCAAGCATCATTTAAAAATTCATCAGAAGCTGTTAAGTAGCTTCTGTATCCCATTTTTCTACCATTATCAGTAATAGACACCACTTACCTACATTTTTCCCAATTGTTTCCTCCTTCCTTCGCTCAATATTGGAGACTGAACCCAGGGCTTTGTACATCCCAGGTGAGGGCTATGCCACTGAGGTATATTTGCAGCCCACATTTTTACTAATGAAAAGATCTATGTGGGGTTTCTGCTGTTGTTTGTTTTCTTTTTATTCAGGGTCTTACTGTGTAGCCTAGGCTGCCCTGGAACCCACTGTGAAGACTTGACTGCCCTTAAACTCATAACCATGACTCAGCCTTCAGAGTACTGCGATTATAGATATATGCCACCACACCTGGCCAAAATACATGTTTTAATCAGTATTTTTTGTTATGAAATATTTGTCTAATTTTACAGTTTAATTTTACTTTTCTGTGGATGATCTATTTACGTAAAGTCTTTATACTGTGAACCTCTTGTTAAGTTAGCTGCCTCGTGTATTATCTAGTCCGTGTGTGTGTGTGTGTGTGTGTGTGTGTGTGTGTGTGTGTGTGGGCCAGAGGTCAACATAGGTGTCTTCTTTTGTTCTCCACCTTATTCTTTGAGATGAGGCCTTTCACTGAACCTGGAGCTCACCAACTTGCTAGACTAGCTGACAGTGAGATCCCAGCATCCTTGTCTGTGCTCTCCTTCCTTGGCATTACAGGCAAGCACTGCCACACCCCAATTTTTTTTGTTGTTAGTGCTAAGGATCTAAACTCTCACATGACCATTTCCTACTCTAGGCTAGAAGTTCCTCAGTAACCAGTTTGTGACCTCAGCATTTAGATTAAACATTCTATGAATGGTTCACAATAAATGAGATAAAGACCTGATCATTATCTTCTGAGTATATAAAGTCTGGTGTCTTATAAGCTAGTTCAGGAATTTAGCAATAATAAAGAGAAAGCAGTATAATTAGAAAAACCTAGGAAACTTCTGAGTCAGCTGTTTTATACATCCTACTCCCCAACTTTTCTTTGACATCTGTACTGAAAGATGAATTGTTTGCTCTTAGCTTAAAAATTAAATCTAACCAGCCATACTGGGAATTGATCATTCCATCTTTTTTGAGATAGTTTGTTAATATAGTACAAACTCATGTGTTACACTCAATTTTGATTTTTAACTTGAGTCCTAATTTTTTTTTTTTTTTTTTTTTACTATTTCAGGTAAGACCATGAATTATGGAATTTCTTAAATGAAGCATTCAGGAATGAAATGAAAGAATGTCATATAGAAAATAAATGATTTTTAAGTTATGTCTATTAATTTGACTCTAGATATATATATTTACCTCCTTAGTAATGCAAGAAGTCTTTGTGGGAAGCAAAGAAGCAAGCAGCTGCATTTTGTGTGCTCGCCTAAACATTACTGGAGGATAAGCCATACCAGTGTACACAGAGATTTTCATACAAGCAAGATAAGATGTAAATGGACCCAAAGTGAAGCACATGGCAGTAAGCACTGGCACTCTCCAGGCAACCATGGTTTACATATTGGAATTTTGAAACTTAGCACTTCTGCTCCCAAGGGACTTACGAAAGTGAGCATTCATATGTCCCGTATTAAAAGTACTTTGAATTCTGTTTCAAAGGCTATTTTTGGTAGTCAAAATGAAATGATTTCACGGTTAGCTCAATTTAAGTCAAATTCTCGAATATTAAGAAAAGTATCAGATAGTGGCTGGTTAAAACAAAAGTATGTTAAACAAGCCATCAAATCTCTGAAAAACTATAGTGATAAATCAGCGGAAAAGAATCCTTTTGCAGAAGAGAAAAACCACATTGTAGATAAAGAAAATACAGGTAAACAGAGCCTTTTTCATTACACATCCAGTATAACCACAAAATTTGGAGAATCATTCCACTTTTTAGCAAATCATATTAATTTATACTTCAAGTGTAAGGAAAAAATGTCACAAATAAAGGAAAATAAACATCTTCAGGACAAACCAGAACTTGAAGAAGGGAAATCCCGTTCTCTTGGCACTAGCATCCAGACTGAAAGGCCAGACTCAGAGCCTTCCATGGATACCAGGGACAAACCTTCCAGTCCAAGCGGGGCGCCTGAGGTTCTTCCAATTTCTGCAAAGCACAGTATTGCCAGCTTTCTGTCTCGCCCCACTGAAGGTGTGCAAGCTTTAGTAGGTGGTTATATTGGTGGACTTGTGCCCAAATTAAAGTATGACTCAAAAAGTCAGCCAGAACAGGAAGAGCCTGCCAAAACTGAACAGACTGTCAGCAAAGACAAAAAGGCAGAGGAGAAAAAGCGTGTGTCTCTTCAGCGAGAAAAGGCAAGTTGTCTCTCAGTGTACTTTTAAGTCCTAGTGAAACTTAAGAAACATAACCATTTGGAGCTTAGTTTCACATTCTAATCATTTGTATTTTATGCATACTTGTAGATTATTGCAAGAGTAAGTATTGATAACAGAACTCGAGCCTTGGTCCAGGCATTAAGAAGAACAACCGACCCAAAGCTCTGTATTACTAGAGTTGAAGAGCTGACTTTCCATCTTCTAGAATTTCCTGAAGGAAAAGGAGTGGCTATCAAGGTAATTTTTCACTTAATTTATATGGAAATGCTAATAAACGTATTTAGATGGAGAGAGCAAACCCTTTTATTGAAAATTTCTATTTTTTAATCATACATACGTATTCGGTAATTGCCCCATTTGTTTTATGTTACACACTATGCTAATGAATTCCTTTTATTTTTATTTTTATTTTTTTTTTTGGTCTTTTTGAGACAAGGTCTCCCTGTAGCCCTAGCTGGCCTGGATTCCCTGTGGAGACCAGGCTGGCCTCGAACTCACAGAGATCTGCCTTCCCTCTTGCCTCCTGAGTGCTGGGATTAAAGGCATGCGCCACCATGACCGGCATGAATTCCTTTTATTCTGTGATATAGATTATGATGTTATAGTATCTATACTTTGAGATTGAGCATGTGTAAAATTGGGCATAAATATCAGTATATTATTGCATTACCTAATAGTTGTCAAATGTTTCTTAGTGCAATGTAGACTTTCTTTTTTTACTATGCAGTTATTCTTTTTCGGTTTTTGGTTTTTTTGAGATAGGGTTTCCCTGTAATCCCGGTTGACCTGGAACTTGCTGTGTAGACCAAGCTGGCCTTAATCTCACAGATCTGTCTGCTTCCACCTCCCAAGTGTCGGGTTAAAGGCCTACACCACCACACCTGACACTATGCAATTACTCTTTCAAGCTAGGAGACAGCCAGGTGTGATGGCACATGTCTGTTAATCCCAGCTTTAAGGACACTGAAGCAAGAGGATCACAAGTTTGAGACTAGCCTGAACTACATAGCAAAAATTTTGTCTCAAATAAATAAATGAATGAATAAATAGATAACTAGTAAACATAATATATAAAGCCATTGCTAATTTTTATTTCATTGTTACATTTGAAATCCCAAAATTTTAACCAATTTATTTCAACTGGTAAACCAATTAGTATTTCTTGCCTCAGTATTTACATATAAAATAGTGAACAAAGTTTAAACATCTTTAAATAGACTATGTTTAAGACAAGTGCTAAGTGACTAAGGTGGTTGAGGCTCTGGATCTGTACTGTTTCCTTATAATACTTAATTTGGAAATATCATAATGATATTGTTATATTTTCGTTATGGTGCTATCAGTACTTATTTTTAACCTACTATGCAGAAAATTCTTAATTCAGTTTACACTTATTCTACCTTTTGATAATTGTCTTGCTGAAAAAGTATTTAATTATTTGAATAATGTACCCTTCAATAGTTTTATATTGCATAATACATACAAGCATACCTTTAATATTTCATGTTCCTAAAATTTGAGATTTATCTTCCACATCTTCTGTGTATGTGTGTGTATCTTTTAAGAGACAAATTTTCCAAATACATATACTTTTTAGTTCACATGTCACTGATAGCCAGAAAGTAGAAATCTAAAGTAGAATTACTGCTGTAGTCCACTCAACTGCTGTAACAAAATACCTTATACTGGGTATTTTATATATAATGGAGGTTTATTTCTCACAATCTGGATGCTAAGAACCCAGGATAAAGTATCGGCAGATCTGGTGTCTGATGAGGGTTTGTTCCTCATATGCTTCATATTAAGGCAAATTCACATGGCAGACAGAACAAGGCAACATCTCTTTTCGGCTCCTTTTACAAGGTCACTAATCCTGTACATGAAGCAAGAAGCCTCATGTCTTAAGCATGTCCCAAAAGGCCCTACCTCTTAATATTAATGCACTGGGAACTAAGTTCCAACATACAAATTTCATGAAGGACCTAACATTCAGAATACAGCATATGCTTTAAGTAATCATTTAAAAGCATTTTATTCAAGAATAGCATATATACCTTTGTAAGTATAAAGTGAAGTTCACACACTCAACACATCTACATCACAGTGCCCAAAGGAGGAACAGGACAAGTCTTTCTTCTAACCCCTTTCAGTCAGTCTCAATCACAGATTAGCTTTGCTTCCATTGCACGATTGTTTTTTTTATACTCAACATGTTGATTGGCTTCTGATGTGGTGGATAGTTGTGAATTATTCTCATTGCTTTAATATCATGGTGTTCACAGTTTATTCTTTGTACTCTTGATGAATTTCTGGGTTTTTTGGCTTTAGTCTATTAGGAAGTTGTCTTGGTTGGTAGTTGAACTGATCTCAAATCTAAGGACCCTTGAATACCAAGAAGAAATGTGATAGAGGAATGTATATTCATATTAGTCATGAATGAAAATCTAGATAGTTGGAAGAAAGTTGTCACCTTTCCTCTAAATAATTAGTCTAAAAACAGTGAACTGAAAAAAATGCTTACGCCGTGTATGCTCTACTGCAAACTTTCATGACTAAACTTTTTTCCTTTTGTCAATTTTTTCCATTGGGTTAAGCAGCTCTTCTTCTTTTTATTCTTGAGATAGGTTTGCTTTGTAGCTCACACAGACCTTAAGCACACTGTGTAGCCCATGCTTGCCTAATATTCTCCATCCTCCTGACTCTTGACTACCAAGTACTACTGTGATTATAGGTGTGCACCATTGTTGCTCGGATGGTTAACCAGCTCTCACAGGCCTTCAGTTTTGTCTCTCCAACCTCCATGAGACTAAATGCTCAGCTGGTTTCTCTGTCCCTTAGTGGACCTCTTTAGGTCCAGCTTTTTCATCCTTTGTATCATCCCAGAATCAGCAAAAGCTTAAAAGGAAGAAAAGCTAGTTTATCAGCTCCCTTGCCAGCATTTATCCCTCTCTAGTTGGTAAGCCTCTCCCGTCCCTGTTGCTTTAGCAGCTCTTGTGATCCCTTTAAACAGTGATCTTCTTGTGTTTCAGCAAGTTTTCTGGTTGTTCTTGGCCTAAGCTCTGACCTCTAACAGATTGTTCCATCATAACCAGAAATAGAAATTTGCCTGTGTAGCCTCCACAATTGTTCAGATTCTTCCAGTACTTTGAAGCTCAACACTAGCTAGGGCAAAAAGCAGAACAACAAAAATAGTATTTCAGATTTGATTGATTATAAAAAGAAGCAAAATGAGTGATGCACTAGAAAATCACTTGATTTATTGAATATTAGACAACAGAAGTATAGCTACCACTCAGCCTTAAATTTATGTTAACTTTTTGTTGTCACAGTTAATGCTTTGTAAATTTGTGTTATGCAGGCTATATTTTCTCTATTAAGTATTGTACATTTTTTAAAAGACAGGATCTTGCTATGTAGACCAAGCTGGCCTCAGGCTCACAAACCTCCTGCCTTAGACTTCTGAGGACCGGGATTACAAGTATATATTACACCAGTTAATAATCATTTCATATTTAAAGAAAATATTTGGCCAGAGGTTTTTTTGGCCTTCAGTATTAGGATAATTATATGCTAAATGCTTATTAATATGTCAGAAACTAATCCTTTTTTGAAATTGCTGAGAAAAATAGTAAATATTAACACTGATTTTTATGATCTACTCATGTTAGTTAAAAATACTCATTCTCACCGGGCGTGGTGGCACACGCCTTTAATCCTAGTACTTGGGAGGCAGAGGCAGGCGGATCTTTGTGAATTCAAGGCCAGCCTGGTCTACATAGTGAGTTCCAGGACAACTGGGGCTACAGGGAGACCCTGTCTCAAAAAGATAAAAAAAAAACCTCATTCTCTTCTCTCTTTCCTTTCCTTCCCATCCCTTCCTTTTTCTTTTGTTTTCTTTACAGGGTCTTACAATGTAGCCCAGACTGTTCTTTAACTCCATAGTCTCCTGCCTCAACCTGTTGAGTGCTGGGATTATATACATGTTCTGCGGTGCCAGCTACCTTTTCCTTCTTGGTTTGTCATAAGTAATAAAATATCTTTTTTTCTCAATATAGGAAAAAATTATTCCATATTTATTGCGACTGAGACAAATTAAGGATGAAACTCTTCAGGCTGCAGTTAGAGAAATTTTGGCCTTAATTGGTTATGTGGATCCAGTGAAAGGGAGAGGAATCCGAATTCTCACAATTGATGGTGGAGGAACAAGGTAAAGCTAGAAAAATGGCTCTTAAAACTACAGGTTCAGAGGGCTGGAGAGATGGTTCAGTGGTTAAGAGCACTGACTGCTCTTGCAGAGGACCCGGGTTTGATTCCCAGCACCCACATGGCGGCTACGAACCATCTTTAACTCCAGTTCCAGGAGAATCCGAAGCCCTCGTCTGACCTCCGTGGCATTGCACAACATGGGTGCACTCACATACATGCAATACATTCATACACATAAAATAAAAATAATAAATAAAATACTTAAAACAACAACAACAACAAAACCCTACAGGTTCAGGTGCTGGAGAGGTGGTTCAGTGGGTGAGAGCACTGGCTGGGTTCTATCCCCAGCATCCACGTGTAACTCCAGTTCCAGGGGATCTGATGCCCTCTTCTGGCTTCCATAGGCACTGTACAACACTGTGCTGGGACTAAAGGCGTGAACCACCACCACCCGGCCCTATTCCCTCAAAATTTTGACAGTGTTTTTTAACTTTACTTTCTTTTATTCCGTTTACCTTATCCATAATATATGCGTAAGTCAGCTAGTCACATAATAAAGTGATGGTTAGAAAGTAACTTTCTGGGCGCTGGAGAGATGGCTCAGTGGTTAAGAAAACTAGCTGCTCTTTCAGAGGACCTGTGTTCACATCCCAATACCCCCACATGGTGGCGAACACTTGTCCTTAACTCTAGTTCCAGGAGATCTGCTACCCTCTTCTGGCCTCCGTGGGTATTGCATGACATGGTGCACTTAAATACATATAGGCAAAACACTCATACACATAAAATAAAATAAATAAATAAATTGTTTTAAGATTTTATGATAGCATATAAGCTATAAAAGCAGTTTAAAAATTTTTTTAGGGGCTAGAGAGAAGGCTCAGCGGTTAAGAACACTGTTCTTGCAGAAGACCCGGGTTTGAATCCCAGCACCCACATGTCAGCTAACAACTGTCCATAACTCCAGTTCCAGGGGATCCAACAACCTCTTCTGTCCTCTGCAGGCATTGCATGACATGGGTGCACTTACCTACATGCAGGCAATACATGCATACACATAAAATAAAAATAATAAATAAAATATTTTTTTAAAGATTTTTATTCCAGTTGTTTCTCAGCCTTTTGGCTAAGATCAAGTATAAAAATTTTTATTACATAACTTGAATTTCCCTTGAAAGAGAAATTCCCATTTTTGCACTTTTATTTTTTTCTACAGAGGTGTGGTTGCTCTTCAGACACTGCGGAAATTGGTTGAACTTACTCAGAAACCAGTTCATCAGCTCTTTGATTACATTTGTGGTGTAAGCACAGGTAATTATCATGTAGACATGGTATGTTCCATCAGCCATTATGGGGAAAGAACATGAAACAGCCTTGACAGCATAGGCCTTCTCTGAGATGATGGATGTTATTTCATGATGATGATGATGATGATGATGATGATGATGATGATGTTGAATAATCAGTCCTTTGATTTGTTTCATAAACTTTTTAAAATGTTTATTGTAAATAAGTTTACATTTAAGAGTGATTTTTTAATGTGGGTTTTTATTGCATTTTCAACAAGTCATATTAACCAGAACTCATTATTAATTATTGATCTGCGGCATATTCACTGTGAAGAAAGTGATGAAGTAGAAGGGTGAACGGCAGGTCTTCATTTGGATGTTACTAGTAGGAAATTGAAGATGGTTAAGATTGTACTTTTCTGTAAAGCATCTCTCTCAATGAGTAATTTGTTTCCTGCATCATTTTATATGATTGTTTGAGGCTAGAACATAAAGTCATAAATGTGTGTTTTTAAAAAGCTACTTTTTAAAATATTGATAGTTGGTATATGTATGAAATTATAGGTTTACATTGAAGAAATTGGCAATTTAAGATGATTTATTTCACTGTTTGACTCAATTTCTCATTTACATTAGTGTATATTCTTCACCAACTTTCTATCTGTGCTTCAGTCATCATAATTATAATAGTAATTTTAAATATCAGCACAAACATAACCAGAGATTTCTCTACATTATTAGTGTTGGGTATGACATATTCCCAAAGGGCATGTTAATTGATGCCAGATTGCCAAGACTAAATGATGAGAACTGTTGCAAAGATGATTCAAAGCATAAGAAATACATTGAACCTCTGGGGGTTAGCAAGTTTGGAAAATGGTGGATTGGAGGAAGAAAAGCACATTTTTTAGTATGTTGAAGGTGTTTATAAATTTCTTTTAGAATGTTAAAAATGTATTTTGACTCCAAAAATAGGAAAATAACTCATATATCCCAAGTTCATTTGACTCTAGAAAGAAACTTCTTAAAGAGATGTTTCCCATGACTAGTGTTGTTTGTGGTTTTGTTTCTTTTGAAATAATACCCCAACCATTTCTGTTAAATTTGTAATGGTCCTTGCAACTGAAACATTTAAACATTAAGAAGCTTACTTCTTGCTTTGGCTCGTTGTTGTCAGGTGACCACTACAGTAAAGAGACTGTCAAATAAGTGGTCTAGTCCTGGAGTGGCGTATGTTACATGTATGTCTCAGTGCTTAAGACATTCATCTCCCACTGCACCTTCTAACTTGCATTTGTTTTTGTGTTCTTAAGTTTGTCTGTACCTGTGATTTTTTTTTTTTTTTGTCTTTTTTGAGACAGGGTCTCCCTGTAGCCCCAGCTGTCCTGGAACTCGCTATGTAGACCAGGCTGGCCTTGAAATCACAGAGATCTGCCTGCCTCTGCCTCCCGAGTGCTGTGTACCTGTGATTTTTATGAAGTTAGTAAGTACGTATTTAGTTTAAGGGTAATGTTTTAACTAGCTTAGTGTTTAAATATCTAGCTCAGTTTTTAAACATCTGATCATTATTATAGTAATTCTGTTTAAAAAGAAAGGCACATTGCCAGGCGTGGTGGCACACGCCTTTAATCTCAGCACTTGGGAGGCAGAAGCAGGTGGATGTTTGTGAGTTTGAGGCCAGCCTGGTCTACATAGTGAGTCCCAGGACAGCTGGGGCTACAAGGAGACCCTGTCACAAAAAGACCAAAAAAAAAGAAAGGCACTTAATTTTTTTTTTTACAAAGTATTTATTGTATTTATTAGGAATATTCTGCAAAGTAAAAAGTACTTTTATAATACAGGTTGGCTGTAACAATATTAAGTCATAAAAGTCGTAAGTTCTCTGATCTACTAGAATGGTATTTAGACTAAATATTTACTAAATTTAAACTACATTATAATAGGACTTTTTGTTCTGCCTTTGCATTTTAATGCCATCTCAGGTCAAATGATTAAGCAGGTCTTTACCTGTTCTGCCCACTCGCCACACTCCAGTACTCTCTTTTTTCTTTAGTTGAAAGTTAGGCAACTTAGGCACACTAGGTGGCAGTGTATCTTAACAACTACAACCAGTACACGAGCTCATCTACTTAAAAGGACCTCCTAGAATAACAGATATCTTCAGTCACATTGGTTCTCAGACCAACCTGAAGGAATAATTGCTTAATAAATTGGTGAGTCTTCAAATATATAGTGTTCTTTTAATAAAACTAATCTTTTGACATTAGGCTTCTATTTGCCACAATATCTTATATATAATATAGTATACGGGGAATAAAACAACAGATTTTATGTATTTTTAAATTACTTTCATTGTTATCTTGAGGTGACATTTGTTTAATTCTTTTGGGGACCTGGAAAGGTTTTTTACATGTGTTAAATCCAGTATAAGTGACTTATAAATTGTAGTCATTATTTATACCCATTCCACAGTTGGAAAAATTGGGTCTCTGAGAAGTAATTTGTCCCAGGCAACATGGTTAGAAAATATCAGAGCTGGAATTTAAGGAGGTCTGTAGCTCATGACAGTTGGTAATCATAAGTGCAGTTATGTCACTGCTGACAGAGACTAAGAGTTCTTCTTTCCAGGTGCCATATTGGCCTTTATGCTGGGACTGTTTCATATGCCACTGGATGAGTGTGAGGAACTTTATCGAAAGTTAGGATCAGACATATTTTCACAAAATGTCATTGTTGGGACCGTCAAAATGAGTTGGAGCCATGCATTTTATGACAGCCAAACCTGGGAAAAGATCCTTAAGTAAGTTATAATCATTTTTTTAATTCTATGATTATATAGTTTCTAAGTTTTAAAAGTTGAAAAGTACAGGAAATAAAAGAAGAAAAATTATTAATCCCACTAGCTGGAGATAACTGCTGTTACTGTTTTTGGTGAATCATGTTCTAGTCATAGATGTTTGGATTCATGTATGTAAGATTTGCATGTAGAAATTATAATTGCCTTTGGGGAGTGAGAGTCTGTGTATACATATGTTTTTCTGTCTGAATGTTTGTAGGTCCAAGTGCATGTGTGTTCACATGCAGGTGTTTGTGTGTACGCTTCAAATGGAAGCCAGCGATTGATGTTAGATGTCCTCCTTGATCACTCTCCACTTTATTTTATTTATTTATTTGTTTATTACTGTATGCATGGTGTGTAGGCATGTATGTGCTACAGCCTACATGTGGAGATCAGAGGACAACTTTTGCAGTCATTTCTCTCCTTCCACATTTACATGGGTTCTTAGGATTGAACTCAGGTTGCCAGGCTTACAAGGATTGGGCACTTAAGAGTACTTTAACTGCTGAGTTATCTTGCCAGCCCCACTTTATTTTTGGAGACAGGGTTTCTCACTGAACCTCAAATTGGCTAGATCAGCAAACCCCAGGAATCTTCCTGTCCTCACCTCCCCAGTGCTGGGATTACAGTTGCATACTACCTAACACCTGCCTTTTACATGGGTCCTGGGGACCTGAACTCAAATCCTCTTGCTTGTGTGGCAGGCATTTTACTGATGGAGCCATCTCCCCAGCCCCAGTCATTGCCTTTTACAAAAATATGAGACCATATTGTATGTGGACCGTGTTTATATACTGCTATTTTTACTTGACCTCTTTTTTCAAGTATTATTGTAAAACAGCAAGTAATTTATAAATTTCTTTCCAAATGCCACAGTCAAAAGTATAAGTGGAAGCTGGATGTGGTGGTTCACACCTTTGATTTCAGTAATCAGGAGGCAGAGGCAGGCAGATCTCTGTGAGATCAAGGCCCACCTAGTCTACATAGTGAATTCCAGGCCAGCTGGGGCTACAGGGAGACCCTTTCCAAAACAAACAAAATGTAAGTGCAAAGAAGAAATTTAAAATCACCCCAAACTTATTATAGAAAGCTGTAGAACTTATAACGTACTTCTTTTTATTATTTCTGGGTTAGATTTTGTATGTGTGTATGTGTTCACATATGCACATATGTGTGTGCATATATGCAGATGGAGGACAAAGAATAACCTCAGGTGTCATTCTTCAGGACACTTTCCACCATTTACTTGAGACAAGTCTCTCATCATTTGGTTGAAACTTCAAGTAGGTTGAGCTTGCTGGCCAGTGTGCTCTAGGGAGCCATCTGTATCCACGTCCCATTTCCCATTGCTAGGATTGCAAGCATGTGCACCACCCCACTGTGCTCTGCATTTTACGTGCGTTCTGAGGGTCCAAACTCAGGTCCTCATGCTTTACAAACTGAGCTTTCTCAGCTCAATGTTTGTTTGGGTTTGTTTGTTTTTCATGTATTTTGTATTGCTGAAGTTATTTTATAGTTGTATATTTGTATCCTTTCCCTTTCTTCCAATTTTATTAAAACTAATACCACCTTTCAAAAGACTACACTGTATTCCAGACTGATGATATATTTTCTTAACCATTTCCACTTAGGATATTTATGAACATTTAGAACATTTATATTTTTCTTAATTTTGTGATTGGGAACAGTGCTGTGGTAAGAAACTTTAGATTTCTGCCCATATTTCAGATTATATCCATCCTATCAGTTTATAAGAAGCATACTCATTTGCTCAAATGTTGATTTTTTTTTAATAATGGAACTTTATATAAAGAAAAAAGTTTTTAAAAACCTACAATCCCACTAAAAACAAAAACACTTAACATTTCTTTTTAGAACTTCTTACAGCCAAACAAGTGTGTGTGTGTGTGTGTGTGTGTGTGTGTGTGTGTGTGTATGTGCACACACGCATGCTCGTTCTACACCACAATTGGGACCAAACTGCACATGTCCTGCACTTCCATTTGGCATATGTTACAAGTCATCTCTTATGTCAGTAATATATTTTGAAACATCTTTTAATGGTTGTTCACTGTCCCATTTTATGAATGTGCTATTTTTCATTTAACATATTTACTATTGGAAAAGAAGGATACTTACAATATCTTATTTTTTGTAGTTTAAATTTTAGATGGACATCTTATATCTCAACTTAAATCTGATTATATCTTTAAAGGAAAAACCTAGAAATAAAATTGTGTCAGAGATGTTACATATGTCTTAAAAGTCTTGAGATGTATGTGTGTATGTAGCTGAATTCTTCTTAAAAATAGGATCCTAGTCTGCTCATCTACCCACATCAGTTCTTCACTTCTAATATTAGACAATTTAATGTTTAAAAATATATGAGTTTGAGAGTTTTTGAAGCTAGTGTTTCAGTTTACATCACTTTATTAGCAATCATGAACCTTCTTCATGCTTTGTTATTGTATTCTTTTTGAAAACTTTGGATATAATCTTTGCTCATTTTCCTATCAGGTAGTGCCCATTATTTTCTTAATATATAAACTATATATTGAAAAAATACATTCTTTTTTTAAATATTTTATTTATTATTTTTAATTTATGTGTATGAGTGTTTTCTTCCATGGAGGTAGGTACAGTTGTGTCATGCAGTGTCCGTGAAGGTCAGAAGAGGGCGTTGAAACCCTTGGTACTGTAGTCACAGACCATTGTTAGCTGCCAGGTGGGTGCTGGGAACTGAACCTGGGTCTTCCGCAAGAGCAGCCAGTGCTCTTAACTACTGATTCATCTCTCCAGTTCCTCAAAATACATTTTTTTTTTTTGGTCTTTTTGAGACAGGGTCTCCCTGTAGTGGCCTGGAACTTGCTATGTAGACCAGGCTGACCTTGATCTCACAGAGCTCAGCCTGCCTCTGAGTGCTGGGATTAAAGGTGTGCACCACCACGCCTAGCTATTCTTTAAGAGAATTCTTACCTTCATTTATTTGTGGGGAGGGATGGCACACACACCAGGGCACACTTGTAGAGGTCAGAGAACAATTTGTGGGAGTTAGTTCTCTTCTACCACGTGAGTTTCTTGCCTTGAACTCAAGTCATCGGCCTTGGCTGCTTAAGCACCAAGCACCCTTATCTCCTGAGCCATCTCAATAGCTCAAAATACTTTTTCTAAAAAGAACATGTTTCATTTATTCCTATTTTCTTTTTTAATTTGATTTTATTTGTTTGGGAGATATGTGTGCACATATGTGTATACAGGTGTGTGTATCCTTGTGTGTACATGCAGAAGCCAGAGGAGGACATCAGGTTGCTTCCTCTATTACTCTCTACCATATTTTTTAACACAGTCTCTCACTGAACCTAAAGTTTAGCATTTTGTCTAGACTGGGATCTGCCTCTCTCTATCCCCCAATCTGAGGTGATAGGCAAGCAGCCGTGTCTGGCTTTTATATTGGTGTTGAGAATTTGAACTCAGGTCCTTTTGCTTTCACAGTAAGCACCCTGCTCTTACCCACTGAGATATCTTCTCAACCCCCCAAAATACTTAGAGTGAATGATATTTTTAATGTAGTGGATTTGTTAATGTTCATTTAACTACATTTATCTTTTTTAAAAATAAATTTTTATGTATATGAGTGTTTTGCCTGCACATATGTATTGCCTGCATATTCATGTGTGCCTGGTGCCTGTAGAGTCCAAAAGGCATTGGATACCCTGGAACAAGAATTAAGGATGGTTTTTAACTGCCATGTGGGTGCAAGGAACAGAACCTGGGTCCTCTAGAAGAACAGTAAATGCTCTTAACTGCTGAGCCATCTCTCCAGCCCCCACGTTTTTCTTTAATGATTTTTAACTTTACTTCCTTATTTATAGTTAATAGTAAATATTATTTTTCAGTTTGGTATTAAGCTTTTAGTTAATTCTTAAGTCATCTGAAAATTATATTGATGTATAAAGGGTTGTCAAGCTTTGTTTTTCTCTCAATTCAAATGTCTCAGTTTACCGATTATTTTGTCTTTTTTCACTGAGTGAAACATCTTATTTGTTGTGTCTGTCTACATGACAGTCTCTGTTCCAGGGTTTGGGTTTGGTTTTTTTTTTCTTATTTTTTGTTCAAGATCGTGAGTTTGTTTGGCCTTTGTATATTATGGTTTTTAATGGAATAAAAAATCATTTCCCAACCAGTCCTGGTGGTGCATGCCTTTAGTCCCAGCACTCGGGAGGCAGAGGCAGGCAGATCTTTGTGAGTTCAAGGCCAGCCTGGTCTACATAGTGAGTTCCAGACCAGCTGGGGCTACAGGGAGACCATCTCAGAAAGACAAAAAAAAAGAAAAAAGTCATTTCCCTTTCCCCTTCTTTCTCCAAATTCTGTTAGCTCTTTTCACTTAATCTCCAGAACCAATCTTTAGTTACTTCTGTCACATTAGAAGTTCCCGTGGGCCAGGCATGGTGGTACACACCTTTAATCTCAGCACTCAGGAGGCAGAGGCAGATGGATCTCTGAGATCAAGGCCAGCCTGGTCTACATAGTGAGTTCCAGGCCAGCTGGGGCTACAGGGAGACTCTGTCTCAAAAAAACCAAAACAAAACAAAAAAACCCAATAAATAAATAATAAATAAATAAATAAATTCCCCTGGAAGTTATGTAGAAAGTACCTGGAATATTGATGTTTTTCACATTGTCAAATCACCTCCATCCATTATTACAAATTTAAAACATTATTTCCTGGTTTTTGAGTTCACTTGGAAAAAGTAATTCATATCAGTTCTCTTGAAATCATAATACTGGCTTAAGATTTTAAATAAGAGTTTGAAATTTATTGTAAGACCAATGTATGTGAAAGTTCTATTTTGTAACTCCTGAGAGTGTCTTCACTCTATTTCTTAATTGTTAAGAGATAAAATTATTTTGACATAATTCATTTATTCTTGTTTAATAAAGGGATAGAATGGGATCTGCACTAATGATTGAAACAGCAAGAAACCCTATGTGTCCTAAGGTAAGCCTAGAGTCTCTTAAATAGAACATCACAGGGTCTACTGAAAGCAGTTATTGTGAGTAAATTATTAGAAATTTCTTCTAATAGATTTCATTAATTTCTTATCTATTGGGTCATTCTATTAATATATAGGATGTGATCATTAGATCATTTCTATATACAGGAAAAGTATAATAAAATTTAAAAACATGAGATTGGGACTGAAAACATGGAAGAATTATTTTATTATAATTATATGACTTTAATAAAACCTAGTATTTTGGGGCTAGGGAAATGGTTCATTGTTTAAGAGCACTTGCCACTCTTGCAGAGGACCTGAGTTTGGTTCCCAGCACCCACATAGAGGCTAACAGTTATCCCCAACTCCAGTTCTAGGGGATCTGACACCCCCTTCTGGCCTCTGTGGGCGTTGCATGACACGGGTGCATTTATATACATTCAGGCAAAACAATCAAACACATAAAAAAAAATTTTAAATGATTTAAGGAAAATACAGCATTTTTATACCCAAGATTTTTTAAGAGAAATTTGTATGCCATATATACATAATGATAGGATATTAACATACAAATGAATACCAGTTTAAAAAAATGTAGTGTCATTTAGATAGGTCTCTGTATAGCTTCTCGTTTATTTATTTATTTATTTATTTATTTATTTATTTGAAACCCAATAATCTGAGGCTGCTCTAGCTGATTTTCTTTAATAATAATTACTTGGTAAAGAAATATAAGTACCTAAAAACCCCATGTGGCTTGCATTTATTCTTAGATGGCAAGTAAGGATGAACAATCGCATATACCTACCTCTGTTGCTCTTAATTTCATTCATTCTGCAAATACTGTATGCCTTTGTGCTAGACACTTTGGATACATTAGTGAGCAAATGAAGACATGGAGTTTACAGCTCTATAGGGCAGTGTGGCTGTTAAATAAGTAATCACACAAATGAAATGGTTTCCTGAAGTAAGTGCTGTGAAACCCACTAGCAGTTCTCTGAAAGCATATATTTCAAGGGTTGTAAGGAAGGCTATTCTATGAGATCTCATTGTGTAGGCTAGTAAGTAGGAGCATTCCTGGCAAAAGGACAAAGAGTGTGGTCTGTACAGGACTCAGAGAATTCCAGGAACTGCGTTTCTGGAGGCCAGAGCCCAAGATCCCAGGGCAGTATGTAGGATGAGGCTGGAACAGTAGGCGAATTAGATCAAGCACGGGCTTTGGAGGCCATGGTAAAGAGATGACTTCATTCTTTTGGAGAGGGCCCTAGTATGTGCTCTGCCCCCCTTGCTTGTTCTTCTGTATTGATAGGACACTGTTTTTATTATAATACTTGCTTCCAAATTGTAGAAGTCAAATTAAGTAAAAAAATAGATGTGAGCATGGGGAAATGTAAGCCAAATCAAAAGGCACTTCATCATGATAAAAAGCAGCCACCCACAGCTTTCTTCATCCAGTTTTTTCAGCATAGCACTTGTAGAAAGACTTTATGGACTTTAGAGGATGACCAACTCTCATCCATAGTGGCCCAGAGTCACAAATTACTTATAAATATTTAGGATAGAACCTTTGTTTATTAAACAACAAAGCATTCAGGGCCCTGGCAAGGTTTAACATAGGACAACATAAACTTTGGCTTAGGATCTGAAAGCTTTGAGAATTTGTGCAGGACTGTGCTGTGGTTTTGCTAAAGTCATAACGCTTTCAAAGTGATAGAAAAAAAAAAACAATTTGTAAATGAAACTGCGAAATGATGTATTAATCTTTAAGAAAGTTTTATTGTTGATACTGTTACATCAGCTGTTACTTGAGAATCCAGAAATGTGTACCTTTTTGAGTGACTTTTAAAATCAAATCATGTAGTCAAATGCATCTTTATTATTGTTCTCGTCTAATAAATTTTTCACAATTGTCTGAGTGCTTATCTCTGTTATCCCATTAAAACACAACGTTTCCTTTGCTCAGTATTTTGTGTTATACATTGATCTTGTTGGGCTTGCAGATTTATACAACTAAATAGTATTCAGCTGGGTGTGGTGGCTCATACCTGTAATCCTGGCACTGGAGAGGTTCTGGCAGGAAAATCACTACAATTTGAGGCCAATCTAGCCTTTATAGTGAGTTTTAGGGCAAGCAGGGCTACAGAATGAGGCTCTGTCTTAAAAAACCAAAATAATTAATAAATCATATTAATTATATTAATGTTTGTTGACTAATTATAAATAGTATTCCAGCTTTACAGATCTTAGACACTGATGTTAATAGTCATCTTGTTTCCCTTTTAATTCTCTAGGTAGCTGCTGTAAGTACCATAGTAAACAGAGGGATAACACCCAAAGCTTTTGTCTTCAGAAACTATGGTCATTTTCCTGGAACCAACTCTCATTATTTAGGAGGCTGTCAGTACAAAATGTGGCAAGCCATTAGAGCCTCATCGGCTGCTCCAGGTTACTTTGCAGAATATGCACTGGGAAATGACCTTCATCAGGTAAGTACTTTTACAGGATTTAAAGGGTCAGCATATACTAATTGTCACTAAATTTCACAAGGATCAAAAAAAAAGAAATGCCTTCACGTTTTCAAATATGTCAAAAGATATATAACGCAAGGAAATTTATTGTTTGTTTTCTTAAATTACTTGAGAGTATGGCCCAGGGAGTTTTTGTTATATTTTTCATAGTGTCATTCATAAGCACAGTAATTTTACTGATGATACATGAGATGATATGGATTAGCCTCATATACATGATGAAAATTAAGAACATAGTGCATTCCCTAAACGTGTAGGTGCAGTCTGTATGACAGTTGGAGGGGGAGTACTCTGGAGGCGAGGGTGTAGTAAGAGCATAGTAAACACTCATGGTCAGCTATATGCCAAACACCCACTGCTTCCCATGTATTGGCTTGTTCAGTCTTTGCTACTGGGAGACAGAGCCATTTCCATTCTACGGATATCTTCAGAAAGGTTAAGTAATTAGGACATCTACAGCTGCAGGTTACAGGATGCTATCTGTAATTATACTGTTTCAAATTTAGGCTAAATTATCTGTAAAGTTAATATAATTTCTGGCAATTTATTCATTTTCTTTATGTAGAGTCATTTACTTACATTTTTCTCTGTCAGCTTTTCCCCACTATTTATGCATTCTTTATTTGATATCTACTGTTGACAAGATCTTCTGCATAAATTTTGTCAGCTATATAAACTTCAAATTTTCCTCATTAATAATTTTAATGTAAATGAGTCCTGGTTACAACAGTTAACACATTTTTATCAATTTTAAATTTTGACAGAATAACATATTCTAAGATGATGGTCCACTATCCCACTTTCTCTTAGTTTTCTAGAAGTAGTGTAATCTTTAAAGTGAATTTAACAGGGCTCTTTTAATCTTTAGGGTCGTTTTCAGTCAAGTTGGTTGGTTTTGTAAAGCACTTCCCCTCTTGCCTTTCTTTTTGCCTTCTCACCCCTCAAGGCAGAATGTGCTCACTGTTGAGTTTCTTTCTGAAATTGATTTCAAGATTAATCAGATGCAATTTTTATTTTACTATTTAGCCTTCTGTTCTTATCAATGACTTCCCCCATTCTACTTTTTTTTTGTAAAATTTTTATTGAATTTTTTCATATACAACATCTTAATCATCTTTATATCCCTTTCCCCATTGGCACCCTCTCATAGCCCCCCCCAATGGAATTCATGCAGTCTATCATTTGTGTTAAGGCCTATTGTGTCAAGTTAGTGCCCCTAGACATCCCTCAGTGCAAGTTTATTCACTGAGGTCTAGTCAGCCTGTCTAGAATCCTCCCTTTAAGAAGATCAGCTCTTCCTCACTGTGGTGGTTTGAATGAGAATGTCCTCCATAGGCTCCAAGTATTTGGACATTTTGTCCCCAGTTGGTGGAGCTGTTTTGGAAGTTCTTAGAAGGTTAGCCACGCTGGGAAGAAGACCACTGGGGGCGGGCTTTGAGAGTTAAGCCTTGGGGGATCTCCAGTCGCTCTCTTGCTTTCTGTGTCCACTTGATGATATAGAGCTTAGCTTTCACTCCTCCTCCACTCCACCTCTGCCGCTATGCCTCCCCACCAAGACAGACTATAATTCCCCTGGAATCATAAGCTCAAATAAATTCTTCCTTTCATAAGTTGCTTTGGTCAGTGTTCCTATCGCACCAACAGAAAAGTGACTCATACACTCACCCAGCACTAATCAGCTGCCAGTAATTCTTTGAGTAAGATTGGGGCCTCTTGTCGATTTCCACAGTCCTGTGCTGGCTTTTTGTCTGCTTGAATTTGCATAGGTCTTGTGTTTGTTGACAGCATTGCTATAGGTTCATATGAGCAAGGTCCCAGGAGCTTGTAGGATTCTATTTCCATATAATCAGGCACCTCCTCCCTGGCTCTTACAGTATTTCTACCCCCTTTTCCATCATGGTCCCTGAGCCCTGGGTGGGTATAATATAGCCCTGGGTGAGTTTAATATAGGCATACTGTCCAAGGACCCACACTCTGCAGACTCTTATTCTCTACGCTTTGGCCATTTGTGACCCTTTGTGACAGCCTTGAGGTTTTCTCTTAAGATCTATGACCTCTCCAGTCATGTGTATTTGGCTAGGTTTACAATACCACACATGAGTTTTCTCCCACTGAGTGGGCTTTAAATCTAATTAAATAGTTGTTGATTACCCCCAAGATAAAAGTGTCACTACTGCACCCAATGTCATTTGCTGTGCCAGTCATTGATGTGGTTATTAGGCCTTAAAGCTGGAGTTGGACCATCAATTGATGTTCTCTCTTAGCAGCTTGTGTAGTGCTCTCCAAAGCAATGAGAGCTAGCTTTCAGGGGAGGAGGCTTCCAGGTCAGTTCCAGCTCCATTGCTCCAAATCCTGTGTTCGAAGTATGTCCTGTCCAGCAATAGGGTCTTTCCTTCAAGTTCTAGGAGGCAATCAAGGACTGTGGCAATAGCCTGTGTAATTTTGGGAGTCTCTTGGATTACCCTGGCCAGCAACTCAAAGGGAGGTTTCTCCTGTCTGGCACTCTTTCTTGTTATGTAGCCTTCAGCTATACACATGGACTCATGTAGTGATATTATATGTATAGTTTTTTAGTAGATCTTTGGAATAATATGATTCCCTCTGGGTTTTTACACTAGCTAGGCATTATTTACCTCTCTCTCTCTCTCTCTCTCTCTCTCTCTCTCTCTCTCTCTCTCTCTGTCTCTCTCTCTCTCTCTGACCCTCACTCTACACCCTCCTCATTTAAAGTGTCCCCATTTTCCCCATTTCTCTCTTGATAATACCTGTCTCCTATAGTTCCCCCTCTCTTGAGCTCCTTCTTTCCCTTTATCCCAATAGTTCCTTGTATAACCCTTCCTCTCCCCCTCCCGTTTAAATACCCCCATTTTACTCATTTCTCACTTAGTAACACCTGTCTCTGTCTCCTACTGTTCTTCCCTCTCAGGTTCCTTCTTTCCCTTTACCTCCCTGGTTCCTTTCCATTCTCCAGGTTACTACAGTTACACCAGGAGAGAGAGGGCGGGGGAGGGAGAGAGAGAGAAAGACAAAGATGGAGAGAGAGAGAGAGAGAGAGAGAGAGAGTCAGAAGAGAAAAAAATAATGTATTTAGAATATAATAATTGAAGTTTATAAATGAGAACATTCCATGTGATTGTCATGCTGAAGCCTACCAGGGGCAGTCTCATTAAGTACCTGTGTTTTAGGATCTTGTGTTTGAGACTTCAGCAGAAGAGTTTCATTATTACTCTCTCCCCTCCTTCCCTCCTTCCCTCCCTCCCTCCCGTGATCTTCCTAGGTAGCCAGGGCAAGCTTAGAACTCACTATGTAGTCCAGGCTGGCCTTGAACTCATAATCCTCTTGCCTCAGTTCATTATTTTTATCTAAGAGGTAGTAAGTCTTAAGTTTAATTCAATCCCTCTGGTGTGTGTCGGGGGGGTAATTCATTAATTCCTTTTGTATTTTAGATAGACTAGTAGTATTTCATTCTTGGCCATTTTTATTCTGATGACCCTTATAATCTCAATGTATTTTGAACTACACATTTCAAGAACTTCTTGTATAAATGTTATGTGAAGCATATAACCAATGCCCTCCAGAAAAAAGTGTCACATGTGGTTTAAAAAGAATATTTACTATCTGCTCTTCTAAAGGACCCAGGTTTGATTCCCAGCACCCACATGGCAACTAGCAGTTGTCCATAACTCCAGTTCCAGGGAATCCAACGCCCTCTTCTGACCTCTGAGGGCATTGTATAACATGACATGAGTACACTTACATATATGCAGGTGAAACAGTCACATGGATAAAATAAATAAATTTTAATATTTATTTTTATTTTATGTGTATGAGTGTATGGCCTGCATGTATGTGAATGCACTCATGTTGTGCAATGCCATAGAGTTCAGAAGAGGGCTTCAGATTTTTCTGGAACTAGAGTTAAGGATGGTTCGTAGTTGCCAAGTGGGTGCTGGGAATTGAACCCTGGTCCTCTGCAAGAGCAGTCAGTGCTTTTCACCACCAAGCCATCTCTCCGGCCCCTAAAATTAATAAATTTTAAAAGAGAATAAAAAAGAATATTTTATTCTAAAACGTGAATGATCTTGATTTCTTAAACAAAAGAAAACTTGAAAGTTCCTACCTTATTCTTACTCTTTAGAAGTTACCATGGTTACCATTAAAATACAGTACTACAGTCTTCTCTTACTAAATTCATTAATTTCTATTCAGTTATTTCCAGTCTCTCTTAACTGTCATGTCTGACATATATCTCATTTTAGCTTACTTCATATCCTTTTTAGAGGCAAGTAGAGCATAAATTATAGGTTAATATTCTATTGCAGCTGTGGAAAGTGCTGCTGTACTTGAGGTGTTACTAGATGGATGACATTTCATTTGCCTTTGACTATAAAAAGAACTACAGTACTTACAAGGTGTGCTACTGCTTCTAGAAAAGTGTAAAGCAGGAGGAATTCTTTCTGAGTAGCTTTAGTCACTTCATTGCCAAGTAGCGTAGTGTCTCTCTTGACAAAAGTAGTACTTGATAAAAGTAGTACTTTTCACACGAAATTTTGCTGTGCTGTCCCTTACCTTTTTCTATCTTCACCTCCAAAATCAAATTGTTAATTTTCTACCTTTGGCAGAAGAATCTGATCCATTAGCTTAGACTAAGGTTTTTTGGTTTTTGTTTTGTTTTTGTGTGTGTGTGTGTTGGGGCGGGTGTGGCTGGTGATTGAAATTAGAGCCTTATGCTTACTAAGCCTATGCTGTAGCTCCCCAGCTCCTGCACTAGACATGTTGATGACAGGTTGTAATATGTTACTCTTTCAGGCTTTATCTACTTTTTAAAAGATTATGTTCCGAACTCCTAAGACTGAACATCAATCTAAGAAAATGATGGAAAGTTTATATAACTCTTACAGGTAAAAAGTATTTTATCAGGAAGAACCTCCCTAGTTCCTACCATCTGATGTCTGTGT